TCGGTTGTCGGTGTCGCTCGGGGCCCTTCGTTGGGCTAGTGGCACCGTTCTAAAGACTTAGGCCAATGAAGTCGTCGATGTCGCTTGGGGCCCTTCGTTGGGTTAGTGGCACCGATCTAAAGAATTGTTCTGATCGCCGCTTATCGATGTCGCTTGGGGTCCTTCGTTGGGCTAGTGAACAAATTTTAAGTATTTACTTAAAATTGATCGCAAATAATAATATGTGAGAATATTGGGTACAATCTCTAAATATGAATCCTCTGATTCTTCACTTGCAATTTGAAATAAATATAATTAAAGAAATTAATTCAAAATTAAATCTTTAATTCTTCAAATATTCGAACGTTCGTCAGATCTTCAAATCTTCGAACCTTCGTTCTTCGAATCTTCAAACCTTCAAAGTTTTGTTCTTTGAATCTTTGAATCTTCGTTCTTTGAATCTTCAAATATTCTTGAATTAAGAATTCAGCTTGAAGGGCCTCCGGTTTTCAAATGGCTTGATCTTCAACAAAAGAGCCGTTTTGTGGCTTGATCTTCTGTTTAAGGGCCTCCCGGGATATGCGGCTTGATCTTCAATTGAATCTTGATTCAATCTTAATATGAATATCTTCAAATCTTCAAAGTTTCGTTCTTCATATCTTCAAATCTTCAAAGTCTTGTTCTTCAGATCTTCGAACGTTCTTCAATTTTTGGATTTATTTTATTAAGAATCGACGAAATCACGAAGGATTATTCGTATATTCTTAACAAAAATCGTGGCTTGATCTATTCCTCTTCTTCGGAATCGTTCAGAGCCTTTCGGGAGTTCTTGAGAGCTTTTCTACAACGTTTCTTCGTCTGAAAATTCTCTTCATTCTCTCTCAACTGAGACCCCTATTTATAGGTGTGGATGGGGTGAAAATATGCTTTTAGGGTTGTCAAATTCGTCCATATCTCATGGGCCTTAATTAAAATGGGCTTTGGACTCTATTTGCTTGCATTTAATAGCTAGAAAAATCAGCGCTTGTTTGATGTATCTGGACAGCCTTTTTAACAAGGTTCACAGTCATTTTCCATGCATATGGACTGATTTTTAATCAGATTCGTCGTCCACTTCAAAAGTTGGATTATACCTCTTATTCACTGGGCTATTATTTAATATTCGGCTCAAAATAAATTAATATGACCGGTCTATTCTTTTAAAGATTTAATTTATAATTAAATCAATTGGGTATATATATATATATATTTTAATAACCCAAATTAATTCAATTATTAAATTTTATCCGAATAGGTCCATATTAATATTTTTTTTATGAGACCCAATAACCACACGAGCAACCCAGTAGAACCTGAAGTTGATCCAACAGCTTTTAAAAGAAGCCTAATAAGATCAGTAATAGCCCGATATCGTTTGAAGAAGTCCATTGACTATCAGAACCGGCCCATTAAATTTTAAATGTTCACAGCGAGGTAGTAGCTCAAGGGTTAGGTTCCGGGTTCGAATCCCGACAACTGCAATGAGAGGTTACTATGCTAAAAAATGTATAGGGCCTTTGCAAGTATCGGGGACATAGCCGCACTCTCTATCTGTCCGATTGAGATTATAGTCCAACTTACATCTTCCCAACGTACCGTTCGTTCGGGGTTGAGGGTCCTCAAGAATGGGGTGTCATCCTTTTTTTATAATTAATGTAAAAGCTGTAGTAGTATAGAAGACACAACATATCGTTAATGTATAGGTTCAGGTTTAATGCACCAAACCCCCTTGTGAATTGTGATATGGAAATTCGGCACATTAGTCGTCTGCGATTTAAAAAATGTGTCAAACCCTCTTGTGTTTTAATTAATCATGCACATAACCCCTTTTATGAATAAATTCACTTGTCAAATAAAAGAAAAATGATTAACGTTTTTGTGTGATTTAGAGATTTTGACATATTTACTTGCATATTCAATCAGAATATTAGGAAAAATAGTTTCCAAATCGTTAAATTTATTCATAAAAGGGGTTATGTGCATGATTAATTAAAACAGAAAGGGGTTTGACGCATTTTTTAAATCACATGGGAATACTGCACCGAATTTCTATAACACATGGTAGGGTTGGACCCGGGCCGGTCCGGTTCTGGTTTCGGGCCAGGCCCGAGCGGGCTTTTTTTTCAAATTGTTGGGCCCGGAACCGGCCCGGGTCAAGGTAATTTTGTTTTGCTTTCTAATTAAGCCCCGACCCCCCTCCCCCCCCCCTCACCCCCCTCAAATCCCCCAAAACACCCAACTCTAACCAAGAAAAACAAAAAAAAATTGAAAAAACAAAAAATAAAATAAAAAAAAAACCGAGCCCGGCCTGAACCACCCAAGCCGATTCAACAAATATAGGATCCGAGCCTTGCCCGCCCAATCCTCCCCAACCGGGTAAAAGCTCGGGCCTGATTAGCACCAACCGGGCCGGGCCGAACCGGTTGGGTCCATCCCTATCACATGGGTTTGATGCATTAAAGCGGTATAGGTTCAGATAAATATATTGTCGTTTGCCACCAACCAACCGCTGGCTCCTGTCCCTCTTTATCTTCTGTCGAAATCAATATGTAATTAATTACACATTTAGTCACGTGTCTGTAGAATTGTATTCATCACTATTCATGTGCGTAGTAGCGTACTATTTCCTTTTCCATAATTGTACTTTAAGAGCCCGTTTGGTGACCCCCTTTTTCGGCTTATCAGGCTTATCAGCCAGCTTTTTCACCAAACACGTAACTTTAGATTTCGCGCGCTGAATTTTGTAATAAGCAGAAAAAGTAAGGTTGGCGTTACTTTTCTGGCTGTATTGGTTGAAGTTACTGTAGAGGATCATTTTAGCTACTTTTTCATATAATTTTTTATTTAATTTATTAATAACAAATATTTTAAATATAATTTTTTCATGAATCAGCAGAATCAGCCAATATAGCCACTTCAACTAGAATTTCATAAATTTCAGCAGAATCAGCCAATTCAGCCACTTTTAATGTTACCAAACGGGCTCTAAATGTATCTATTTCAAATAATGAAACAGTACAAACTCCGACCCTGCGGGAAGCAATTAATAAAAATTTATTTCCAAGTGCCAACACCGAATAATTTCAAAGGCCGGGTTTTAATGTTTCATGCGCCAAACCCTTGTATAGAAATTCAGCGTATTAGATCTCTGTGACTTGAAAAATGCGTCAAATCTACTTGTGTTTTAATTAATCATGCATATAATCCCTTTTATGACTAAATTTAATGATTTTGAAATCATTTTTCCTAATATTCTGATTGAATATGCAATTAAATATGTCAAAATCTCTAAATCATACAAAATTGTTAATCGTTTTTCTTTTATTTGAAAATTGAATTTGTTCATAGAAGGAATTTCGCGCACAATTAATTAAAACACAAGGGGTTTGACGCATCTTTTAAATCACATGGGCCAATGCACCGAATTTCTATATCACTTGAGGATTTGATACGTTAAACTCCAACTTCTCCAATACCTCTTGCGTTGTACATAGTATGTATTTTAATTTGAAAAGGTTGTTAAAAGGGGTTTTCCCCTTAATATTACTAAATTAAAGTCCGGGCGGTTCGAGCCGGGCTCGGGTCATTTTTTTTTTTGTTTTTTCAATTTTTTTTCTTTTCCTAGGGTAGGACTCGGTGTTTTGGAGAGGTTTAGGGGTGGGGGTGAGGGAGGGTCAGGGGATAACAAGAAAACAAAAAAAATAGACATTGAACCGGGCCCGGCCCGGTTAGGCCCGGACCCGATATTAACCCGGGCCGGTTCCGGACCCAAGGATTTGCAAAAAAAGTCCACCCGGGCTTGGCCCGGAACCGGAACCGGCCCGGCCCAGGTCCATCCCTGAGTGACCCCCACTGCCCCTCCCCGCAGCAGTCGCGGCCACCACTGCGGTCGACCAAGGCCACCGCCACCACCCAGTAACCAAGCCTACCCAACCACCATCGACCACCACCACTAACCACCGCCCCCACCGCGACTTGACGCCCCAACTCCCAGCGCCCTCCCAGCCCAGCCAACCTCCTGGCCTCTTCATCACTGCTACCCGACCAACTCCGGCACCCTCCGGCCACCCCTGCCAGCCCCACCTTTGAGAGCGTAACCCAGCCCCAACCACCGGCTAATGAGCCCTACTCGACGCCCCCCAAAATCTGGTCGTTTGCTTGTCACCATATCAGATATAAATGTTTACGAGGGGGGAGAGGCAGACGGTGATAGAGCAGTGACGCGAGGCAGAGAGGCGCCATCCGAGCTCATCGTAGTAGGCCCTCAAATATGTGCTACTCGTTATCGGATGACAAAGCTCTTTGCCGGATCTGCGAAAATCGTAGCCGAACGATGAAGCTTGCCGGATTGACGAGCCTTGCCACCGGATCGATAAAGTTCGTGGAGGTGCCGGTTCATCTACACAAATTTGCCGCCGTGGAATTGCTGGTTAATCTGCAAAAATTCGCCACTGCAGAGGAGCTGGTTTAATTTGGTGGAGACGGCCACATGCGCGTCGGAGAAAACGGCCCAGTGAGGGAGAGGAGTTGTAGTCACTTTTTTGTAAAGTGTTAAAAAGGTTATATATTTGTCTATTAAAACCTTAGTGGTCATATTTTGTCCATTGTTTCAAAAAACTTTATTTTCCGAAGTGTATATAATTTGATACAAGTATTTCAACATTTTTCCTAATACCGGGCACCTTTTTATATTGTGCAGCTTTAATTTTATTATTTTATTATTATAGCAGGTTCCCCCTATTTCCATATATATATATATATATATATATATATATATATATATATATATATATATATATATATATATATATATATATATATATATATATATATATATATCTAACGTCTATTAAGCGAAGAAATTTACCTCGAACCTGAACCTGATGGTGTCCTTAAACGTCATTTCATAAATTATCAATTGACTTTAAAAAATCATTCAATCAAAAATCATTTTATAAACTGCTAATAATATGAGCTGATGCAGCAGCGAGGAGGATTGAAGGGCGCTGCAGAGGTTCGTTCGCATCTAGGCAGGGAGCAGGGGAACAATTTCGGCAACTCTCGTGAGACGAATCTTGCGTGGTAGAGCAGGGAGGCGAGTTATAGAAGATTGGCGTCACAGAGAAGACCATCTGGTGACCATCTGTCCGCAGCAGAGCTTCGATGCAGTGGTCCGCAACAGTAGTCCGCAACAATGCTTTGATTTTGGTATTGCAGAGTTCTGATTGATGCATTGGTCCATCATTTGCATTGATTAAAACCACGAAAAGCGGCCATTGTCTAGGTTTAGCCCTCGGTTGGAATGATGAGGTGCAGGTCAAGGTAATTACCGCAAACTCTAATATAATCGATTGTGAAGTTAAATTTTTAGCCGAGGATGATGCGTGGCGGCTCACGGCAAACTCTAATATAATCGACTGTGAAGTTAAATTTTTAGCCGAGGATGATGCCTGGCGGCTCACGTGCTATTATGCATATCCGGAGACTTGTAGAAGATGAGCAGCATGTGAGATGCTACGGAGTTTGTCAAATAATTCCTTTTTTTATTGACATCAGGTATCCTCGGTTGCCCGAGACTAATCCGGAGCCTTGTGACCCTATCCGGCAAAGGGCCACAAGGAGGTAAACCAGCATAGGTTGCCCATAGCTGACCGGCTCACAACTTGGGGAGGTCACAATAATCACTCCAATTGCAGGATTCGAACTTAAGATCTTAGGATTGCCCCTAAGACTTAAGTCATATGAAATGACCATCCAAGCTGGGGGTTGCCCCCTTGTCAAATAATTCCTTAATTCCATGGATGGTAATTGGAGATTTCAATGACATCCTGTATGAGTCAGAGAAAAATGGAAGAATTCCTCACCCTCCGTGGAGGATGCGGGGATTTCATGAGGCTATACTATCATGTGATTTACGGGATTTTCCGTTTGATGGATACTAGTGGACTTGGGAGCAGGGAAAGGGCACACCATACTGGGTGGAGGAGAAACTGGACCGGATTTTGGTCAATGATAATTGGTTGAGTAAATTTATGAAAGCGCGAGCTTCGTCTATTGAGGCACCGATAAGTGATCATATGACCTTATGGATTAAAATTAAACCCTCTTTACGTGGTAGGTCTCCAAGAAGGTTTAAATTTGAAAATAATTGGCAGAAGGAGGAAGAATGAAGATCGATTGTAATTAATAGCTGGGGTGCGGGTTCGCATAATATGACAGTCAATGAGGGAAATTCTTTTTTGTGGAAAAGAATTACTGAGGTGGAACCAGTGTCATACTAAAGGGTTTCAAAATCAAATTCTTACTTATAAGAAAAGATTAGTTTGGTTGAGAGGGCGGGATGACGCTGTTAGCCTGGCGGAATTTGTGAGAAGAAGGGTTATTTTATGCTAACTAATGGAGAAAGAAAACCAATTGATGGAGTATATGGTCCAGGAACCCCCGGCCCATAGACTCCTACTATTCTAAGGGAGGCCCAATAGGCCCAGGAAGCACAGCAGACCCAAATCACAGCGCCCCAAGTACTGAGCAACCCACGTGGCACACTGGGGGTGCCTTCGGCCCCCTGGCCGAAGGCTCTAAATGCTCACAGGATGGCCAACTCAAGCAAACAAAGTTACTGGGAGAAAACGGCGAAAATCAGTAGCCCTCGGCACCTAGAGCCCTCGACACTAAGGAGGTTCCTGGTACTCAGAGCCCTCGGCTAATCATCTGCAGCCGAGGGCACCTTTCTCGACATAATATCCTCTCCACATGCGCCTGAATCACCGTACCAAGTACGACGTCACATCCAACAGCCGCATTTAATGCGGCCACATGCGAATGCCAGTGCCACCCCGTTGAGGTGACCCCTCGACCACCAGAATGATGACACGTGTCCCTATCTGGCATTTATTACTACTATAAATAGCGCCCCTTTTCCCCATTTGTAATCCAAGCTAAACCCGCTCACTATATTCTCAGCAATATACTCTCTCTCTTACTTTTGCTCTGACCTCTCTCTAGTTACTCCCCGCAGTAACCCTTCGGATACATACCCCCGGGTAGACTATCCATCACCAATATTGGAGGCAGAGAGCTAAAGAGTTTTGACTGAAAGAAGGGGATATTAATTCTCGTTTTTTCATAATGCGGTTAAGCAGAGGCGGAGAAAGAACAAATTGGTTGGTCTCAAACAGGAAGATGGTTCGTGGATTATGGATAGAGGTCAACTCGAAGGATGTATTAGAGAGTATTTCTCTAATTTATTTGCTGCTGGAACGTGCTCAACGCATGACTGGAACGGTGGGAATTTTCCTCAAGTTTCAGTTGACCAGAAATGTCGTTTGCTGAGACCCATCAGCCTAGAGGAGGTTAAATCGGCGATTTTTGATATGCATCTTGAGAAGGCTCCTTGCTCAGATGGGATGAACCCGACGTTTTTCTAGAAATTCTGGGATGTGGTGGGGCCGGACGTGACTCGATTATGTTCAGGTATTTTTCACTCTGACGATATCCCTAAGGAATTAAATATTACTAATATTGTTTTAATTCCAAAAAAGGATAACCTAGATAATTTGGGAGAGTGGAGACCGATAACACTTTGTAATGTAGTCTATAAAATTTTCTCTGAAGTGCTTGCTAATAGAATGAAAAGTTTTTTGGGCCAGCTGATTGGAGAGAATCAAAGTGTCTTTATTCCGGGGAGATCGATTGTGGATAATATTATAGTGGCTTTTGAGACTCATCACTATCTGAAAAGGAAACAGTATGGTAAAGAAGGCTTTGTTGCTCTTAAGCTGGATATGAGCAAATCTTATGACCGGGCAAGTTGGGATTTTCTAAAGTTTATAATGACTAGCATGGGGTTCACTGGGAGATGGATTGAATTAATTATGGCCTACGTCACTACGGTTACTTATTACGTCCAATTTGATAATGAGTTCATTGGACTGATTGAATCATGAAGAGGGCTTCGTCAAGGTGACCCGCTATCACCTTATTTATTTATTGTTGTGGTTGAGGGTTTAAGCGCGTTTCTAAGAAGAGCTGAAAGTGAAGCGAATTTACATGGGGTTGCGGTTTGTAGGGGGGCACAAAAAATATCACACCTTTTATTTGCAGATGATAGCCTCTTGTTTTTTAAAGCCACAAGGAGTGAATGCAGTGTGGTTCGAGACATCTTACAGGGATATGAGAAATTATCGAGCAAGGTAGTAAATTGTTCCAAGTCCTCTATGTCGTTCAGAATGTGAGCGAACCAGATAAACAAATGTGTTGCTAGATTTTGGGCATTCCAAGAGAGGGAGGTCAGTCGAAGTATCTGGGATTGCCGGCGTTGGTTGGAAAAAATAAAACGGTCATTCTCGGTTATATTCGATACCGAATACACTATAATTAAAAGTTGAAATAATAGATTCTTATCTAGAGCTGGAAGAGCGGTGTTATTGAAAAATATTGTTCAGCCGATGCCAAGCTATGCTATGAACGTTTTTTATTACCAAAAGAACTTTGTGATATAGAAAAATTAATGAACGGGTTCTGGTGGAGGGGATCCAAGTTAGACAAAAAGGGATGAGATGGAGAAGCCGGAAAGGGCTATGTATGCCGAAAGAGGTGGGTGGCTTAGGCTTCAGAAGACTGAGAGAATTTAAATTGGTTATGCTGGGCAAACAGGGACGGCGATTAATCACAGATGAGCGTCGTCTCATGAGTCAGGTTCTCAAGGCAAGGTACTTTCCTAATACAAATTTTCTTAATGCAAAATTGGGTAATAATCCTTCTTTTTTCTGGAGAAGCATATTTGAGACTCAGGAGCTGATAAAAAATAATACTCGAAGGTGTGTTGGGAACTGTATTGATGTACAGGTATGGGCGGATGCATGGCTGCCAGGGCAGGGATCAGGCAAAATTTCTTCCATTCGCCCCAGGGGTGTCAGAGACATGAATGTAGCGGCACTTTGTGACATTGCAGGGAAGAAGTGGAATGTGGACATGATATGCTCTCTGTTTAATGAGGACGACAAGAAATTAATTCTTAGTATTCCGATCAGTGCACAGGACAAGAAGGATGGATATTGGTGGAAGGGAGAAATTAATGGGCTGTATTCTGTTTAAAGTAGCTACCGGCTACTAATGGGCGAGTTCCAAGCAGATGGATGGAAATGATGGAAGAATTTGTAGGATATTAAGGTTCCACCGAAATTTAAATTTTTTGTTTGGCAGGTTTTGGATGGAACACTTATGGTGGTTGATAATTTGAGGAGGAAAGGCGTGGACATTCAGGGCGGGTGCAAGCTGTGTAACGCGCCGGATGAATAACTAGATCATGCGATGAGGGCGAGTCCAAGAGTCCAAGCAGTGTTGCGGGCAACTGGGATGTACATGGACTTCGAGCTAACCACGACGGAAGTCTGGATAAGGAAGCAGCTTGATAGTGTTGGCGAGGAAGAAAGAGGTAGTTTCGTGGCTATATTTTGGAGTATTTGGAAACGGAAAAATACAACAGTTTGGAAACAGCATGTACAGGACATTGCTAGCGTTGTAAATGCGGGTACTGGAATGCTGACTAGTTGGAAGGATGTCCAAGTCACTGAGGAAGGGAGGATAGGTTCGACCGGAGACCGTGGAAATAAATGGAAGAACTCGGGGCCGGGGATTATTAAAATAAATGTGGATGGCGTTGTTGACCAGGAAGGTAGTAAAAGAGCCCGGGGATGGATAGCTAGAGACGAGTACGGTGATTTTATTAGAGGCTCATGCACTACACATTCTGTCACGCCCCGGACTTACCCGTACACATCAACAACCCGTCGTACAGTACAAATAGTCAACCGCAATCCAACACATCCATAATATACAAAGCGTCCGCAATATCATTCACACATGGTACATCCATAAACAAACATAATGTAAAACATTCATTAAAGCAGCGAAAACATTATTACAAGTGTTCAAGCTACACTTGGCATAATTAGGCATGTAAGCCCCTAAATAATTATACAGAAAAATAATATCCATGAGCATTGTTTATATTGTTTTCAAAACAGAAACGGAAGAAGCACGAACCAAGTCTCCTTCCTTCAATCTTCCCGAAGCAATGGACGGTGGTAGCAACCTTAAAGCTCTACCTGAAACTGTGAGGTGACCTCCCCCGTGAAGGGGAGGTCAGTACTTTGAAGCATTTGAAAAGTACAATGACAACTATACTGAGTATAATCACCGTTTTAATTTCTAAGACCCTCAAAATAGGGTGGTATCATAATATACATAATAATTTATATTTTCCCCCTTATTATCTTTATAATAAGTTGATTCATTAATTGGTTGGCACACGGCCCCTTCTTATTTCTCATTTCATTCATCGTTTTTCACGACACAACCCGTAGGTCTTATTATTTCTACGGGACTTGCTACCGTTGTCCGAGCCTTCATAAAGTTATCGGTTCGTATTCCAACATCCCGCCCCTGGACTCATACTCATCATCCCGTAGGAATGTAAGGCCCTTCGGGGTCCTATCTTATGTGTGACCGCTGAAAGAGCCTAGTTAGGTCTCCGATTCAGATTCCACCTTAACTCGTGATCACGTTGCAAGTCCATGCTATCCAACCCTGCTCTCTAGACTCGAGAAGGGCCATGGTCCTTACTTTTTACCATAATTCAACCGGCTATCCTCAAAGACTACCGAACACACCCGTAGGCCAATCCTATATCTAGGACCAATTTATTATTCAATTTATCTTGGGTATCCCTGAAGGTCTGCCTCTAGCATAACTTAAAGTTCATACCTTCCTACCTTAAAGCATCTCTTAAGACTACTTAAGGCATAACATTTCACAATCCAACTCTAGGATCAATTCTAGCAATATTTCACTTTAATGCACGACTAGTATATTAATACTAATCGGGCTAACTCCAACAATCCAAGTTCTATGTTCATAGTCATATAGACAATTCCAAACTGATTTTCCATTGAAAGTATCATTTATATAAATATACAAAATATCACTTTTAATCACTCATATATTCTTATATGAAGTAAAAAGTATATTTCAACATAAGTTTCATAGTTAATTCCACTATCAAGTAATCATACTCATAACACATGATCATACACAATTTACTCTTAAATTTGTATATCATGCTCTTATCCATAAAAACACATTTAATTACCTTAGGTAACTTCATGAAATTAACTCACTAATTATAAGCAATATAGTCAGTCATCCTCACCTCGAATGAGCTTTAAGAAGTTCTACCCATCTCGGTTGAACTCCGGCGATACTCCGGCGAACTCCGGCGATACTCCGACGATAATCCAGTGATACTCCGGTGATACTCCGGCGATACTCCAGAGACAGTTAGGAACACTTTAGTCAAGATCCTAACAAGGTTTTATCATCACAAAACCCATATCAAGACAAATAACCTCTAAAAGGTTATTTTCCGGCGAACCAGTCATTCGGCTTCTAAGTCCATTCTTGGACTTAGAACTACCTTCCAATCCCTTGTTCTACACTTCTAAATATGCAGAACAATCCTAGGGGTTCTTCATATGATATATAAGAAAAAGAGAAAAAGTCATTATAAGGTTATTACCTTAATCTTTCTCATTTTCCCTATCTTTTTCCTTCTTTGAACACCTCTTTTTGGACCTCAAATGCTTAAGCTCGAATTTGGCTATGGAGGGAATGGTTTGAGAGCTCACTTTTCCTCTTCCTTGGTGGTGTGAGTCGAGCTAGGTGATAGGGGTGAGAGAGTGTACCCACTTTTGTCTCAATTGATCAATAAGAGAAGGTGATGGGCCCTCTTTGGTACTTTAGATGCCAAATGACCCTCCTCCAAATCTTCTTTGTCAACTCCAGCTCTCTCATCCTAATTTTGCACACAAAAACGTGGGGTGGCCCCCACTCATGTGGGAGGTCATCCCTTTGTGTCCCAATCTGTACAATCGACCCCGAAAGTTGTATTTGTGGGACTGTTTTAATTATATTTTATTTTATCGGGTCAAATAAAATATATCACACGTTCCTAATCATTATAGGTCTTTAGAATACATGTACGTTCCCCAACTTTAATTTAGACGTTTCCGAAATTCATTTCGGGCTGTTATCCGATAAGTTACCAATACCTGTAATTGTGCCTCGTTTGACAAACGGGTCAACTATGTGCCATTTCTATGGCCCAACTAAAATATCCACTACCATATACACATTATCTAGACTAAGATGAATATAAAATGTGGTTCTGGAATTACCGGGCGGTCCTCGTTCCCAGTGTGGGCCCCACGTGCAATTTACTATTCACGTAAAAGAAATAATAAAAATTTACAACTTCGCAAATTCATAAATCATCCTTCAAGGTTTATTACATAATTTACTAAAAGTAAACATGCTTGGGGACGGTGTTACACATTCGGCCGCCTGGACGATGGCGGAAACAGAAGCTATATATGGGGGTACGTGATGCGTTAACGGTAACAGTGGAGATGGACTGGCAGCAGGTGGAGATTGAATCAGATGCTTTATCAGTTGTGCAAGGAATTAAAAAAGGAGAGGGGTTCTCTTATCTGCATCTTATTCTTGATGATATTAGGAAAATTCTTGAAACAAAGAGTAATTTTTTGTCTCTTTTTGTAGACGATCCGCAAATCGTGCGACTCATGCTTTGGCAAGGGCACATGTTGTTCTCTCACGTAAGAGGATTAATTATAATGATATTCCTCACTGTATTGTAAGCCAGTTTGCAAATGATTTGCTGATTTAATGAGTATTTTTCGAATTAATGCTAATTAATACATTAATTACGAAAATAATGCTGGGTTAAAAGTATTTACCGATCTACTACTGGGTTTAACCATGGTCGGGGTAAGTTGCCAAACGGTTGGGTGACTTATAAGTCTCCATCTGGTTTGGCGACTTATAAGTCGTCCAACCGTTTGGTGACTTACCTCTTAAATAGCTCGGCGGGTTGGGTCAGCCAGACAGAACGCGTTTTTCTCAAAAACATCAACACAGTACAATAATCCAATATTCATAACACAGTAGCCATCTAATATTCATAACCGAACACATGAACACATCATAAAAGAGTTTAAAGGTGGAAATACGTAAAATAAAGTCAATTCTTCCTACAATATCTAGTGTACAAGAAAAACTCCAATACAATAGACAAACTACAAGTTCTCATGGTCTTCTTGATCGTCTTGGTCATGGAGATGTTGTTGTTGTTGCCTACACCTACGCCGCTGGCGTGGTTAAAGAACCACTCTCATGCTGAGTCTGGGATGATGAAGCCGCCGCTGCACTAGATGTCGATGGTATATCCTGAGATGGGGGCATGTGTATAAGATGGTCGTAGTCGACTCGCCCCAACACATCTGAACACAACGAGGCAATGCCCGTCAAAGCCTGACCGTACATGTCCACGTCATGTGTATCACTCACTGTGGCAGTAGCCCGCTGATGTATACGCTGCAAAGCTCGTGTCTGAAATATGAAACACAATTACAATTAGTTAGAAATAAATAAAAGTGTTAAATAAAGAAAATGACTTACTTTAGTAATTAGTAATATACTCACTGTCACATGCAAAGCCAAGGAACTAGGCTAATAATGATGAGTAGGGAGTCTGAACGAAGGAGACACAAACAAACGAGTGATGCTGTAATACCATCCCATGTAGTCTCCCGAAACAGATGGGACTAATGTCGGTGTCCCAGTCACAACAAGTTCAGCCCGCCTCTCCCACATAGTGGAGGTATCGGACATGTGTGAGTGCCCAATCCTCCGTATGCTTCCCACGTCTATCCAACCTATGAAGCTCTACATATGTGTCGATAGGTGCTGGAATGACCTTCTCATACCCAAACTGTCGCAATACACGATCATGCAAATGAAGCTCAACAATGTCAAAACATATCAACAGCACACGTGCTCGCCATATGTGAGAATGCTCTCGTCCAGCGGGGGGTAACTCTGCAAACATCTCAGTTGTATACGGAATCCATGTAATCTGTTTCATAAAAATACAAAATTAGTATTTTTGCTATACATATTATAGTTAATGTTATATTACGCACACCATACTTGATCCTCAGACATCCGATCAAACGCATCCCTGTACATACCGAGCCCAGAAGCCGATGATGTGCAACATAGATTAGCAAATAGCCATCTAACCATTCATGTAGAATATATTAATATGAATATTATTAATATATTTATATTCAACATACAATAACATAAATTAAAACGATTAAAAACATACCGACGACCCAGAGAGTCTGCGCCCCGTACATGATGTGGTCCCAGGAGATGTGGAAACTCATCAGGCAGTGGGTGTCCATCAATGGCATGGTATGCCACTCTAATGGACGCCCAATGTGGATGTACTCCCATGACCAAATCTGGAGAAGAAGAAAAAATCCTCCAACTTCTGTGCTCCCTATATGGCAGCCGCGACACAGCTGTCTGTAGAGATAAGCCAGCGTGGCACTACCCCAACTGAACTATGCTGCTACATCAAATCTCTCTAGCATAGGCAAGTGCAGCACCTGAATCTCATTTCCGCTCTTGTTAGCGAAAATGGAAGCTCCCATCATCATCAAAATATATGTCCGTGCATGTTGCTGGATCATCACCTCATCAGCGTCCGCATGAAGAACAACGAAATGCTCCCTCAACCATGGCATCCTCAAAAATGACCCCTGAAGGTCAGCCCGAAGAAGGGGGCAAACACCCAACAAACGCTCACACTCATCAACCCACTGTCGACAAGCATTACCAGTAACAGCTCTCCCATCGACCTTTAACCCAGTCAGTACAACATCTCCCAAGGTCACGGTCACCTCACCAACATGGAGGTGAAATGTGTGTGTCTCCTGCCTCCAACGCTCAAGAAGCGCAGTGAGTACCGCTCTATCGAGAGGGACAGTAGCCACCAATCTATGCAGACCGCAAAAACCCGCAACACGAACATAGGGAAGTACTCTGTCGTCCACCTGCACATGCGACAAACCACGTAGGTGCTCACGACACCTATCCACCTGAACATCGAGGCCAAGTCACACATCCTAACTCTTGTGCGAGGCCTGCAATGTCAGGACAGAACGATCACTCGGCCCACGATCCGCTGCCACCTCCATGCCTACAAAAAGGAAAAAGCATATTAGTTAATTTTTACTAATTATTTTTTTCAAGCAACGTTAGTGTCAATTTTGGAATATTATATTTAAACCCTTACCCAGTGGACCCCCCTCCATCTCTTGATGCTCTCTTCGCACATGTGGCCCTATTATGGCCGGTTTGTTTACATTTTCCACATCTAACCGTTCCTCGGGGACCTTCATCCATCTCATTCTTAATACATGTGAACTTAGGTCTTCCCTTAGCCCGAAGCATGGATGGATCATGCACAATTTCAGGTCCATAGTAAATATAACATTTAAAAATAATAATACATTCTAATTTTGGAGTTTTTTTAGCATTAATGCGGAACAAAAACACCTCCAAATCTACGTTACATAACAAATTTCAAAAAAATATACTCCCTTCGTCCCCTTTTAAATGTCCCATTTTACCATATTGGGATATCCCTATTTATTTGTCCCATACCTTATTTGGTAAAGTTTGTGTGGCTCAAAATCATTCTTACTTTATTCTTACTTTATTCTTACTTTATCTATTAATATCAACCACACAAACCTACTTTTCTTAAAACTCGTGCCACCCTCTTCCGGGACATTTAAAAGGGGACGGAGGGAGTATATAACAATGAATTCGACATCAACATTCAACACTTCATACATATTCACATTACACAACAAATCAATTCACAAATGAATTCCTAATTTACAAAATCCAATTTCTATATTGTAAACCCTAAAATGAAAAATGAGATAAATTGGAGATATTTGTTTACCTAGAGTGTTGAAGAAGATGAAAGTGAAGTAGTATTGACAAGATAGGGAGGCCTTGCCGGAGTTTTCGCCGGAGTTGGAACCTATTTTCGCCGCTCGTCCTCGCTGCACTGCAGAGTGTTTGGGAAGGGGGGGGTTTTCCTTCTGTCTACGGCGTAGCTTGACATGGCGTTTTAATTTAAGGGTAAGTCGCCAAACGGTTTGGCGATTTACCCCGACCTGAGTTAAGCCCAACAGTATATCCGTAAATACTTTTAACCCAACCCTATTTTCGTAATTATTTAATTAATTAGCATTAATACGGAAAAAAACTTTGATTTAATATAGTTTTCAGTTTTGATGATCAAAAAAATATATGAGCTGATCAAAATAGCCAACTAAACCTGCTATCATCGCAAAATGCTATCAATCAACAAAAACTGCTATCAATCAAGAGCCACCAGTTAATTGCCAACCCCCCATGGTAGTTTGGTTTTCAGATCATTTGGATAGTTATACACTCAAATAAAACACAATCCAGACTATAACTCTCTAATATCGTGCCATGTATAAAAATACTAGAGCAGATTGTCATTACATAGTTCCTAAGACCGGGTTAGAATTTCACGTATATTTTTGCAGTATAAAGATTAACAGTTCAAGTAGCAGTCCAATTAAATCTGTGTCCAATCCTACACGTTGTGTTCTAAGTTTACTAGTTTGAACTATAATATTATCGCCTTATCGGCTTACAAAAAAAGAGCGCATGAATTACCTAAATAGGAGTAAAACATACCCTAAATTGACAAATTAAATAGGACTACATTGGTTTAAGGGGAAAAATAATAATACCCCAAATTTTGAAGAGGTGTGAGGTAAACACCCCAAACTTGCATATGAAATTTAAATAGCCCAAACTTTATATAAAAGTTATTTTTGCACCATCATCATGTATTATTTCTTACAAAAATATAAATTTATTGGGTAAATTGCATAATTTAAAATAGCAATTTTAAAGTGTTTCAATTATATAGATCGAGGGTAACATTATTTATTTCACAATGGAAGTTTAGAATGTTGATTGTGTCTTCATGAATTCTAAAATGTTTTAAATTATGCAATTAACACCATAAATTTACATTTTTGAAAAAAATAATATTATTTGGCTATGGTGCTAAAATGACTTTTTATACAAAGTTTGGAGTATTTAAATTACATATGCAAGTTTGGGGTGTTTATCTTACACTCTTATAAAGTTTGTGGTATTTTAAATATTTTTCCCTTGTTTTGAATTTCCTAAATATGACTAATTATGGGTATTTGATCAATTATACCCCTGCTCTAGCCCCCAACCACCTTGCCCGTCATTGCTGCTACTGCCCGCCGTCGCCGGCCTCTAGCCTCTACTAATCTGCTGCCACCACCATCAGTTCCCGCTGCCACACCAGACTACCACGTCACCACCAGACTAACCTGGTTGCCCAAGAGAACTAGGGGCCATAGGGGGGATTTAAGTAATTAGATTGAGGGTATTAAGGACACACAATTATTCGTTCTATTTGAGAAAAGTTTAAGTTTTAGTCTTATTTGTGCAATTTTGTTTACATTTTCGTCTTAATTTGGGCATTTGGTATAAATACTATCGTATTTTCCGAGATTCAAACAGAGACATACTCATCAATTGGTTATGGAAAATTCCCTTTGTACACATCACTTTTTACACACCGGGTTACACGCCGGTCAAATTGTCTGTGTTTGGATAACTTGACCGGCGTTTTATGAAGAAAACCGATTTTCACATAGACAAAAATAAAAAAATTGTCTGTATCACCGACATTTAAATTCTCGTCTAAAATTCTGGTTTAATATTGTCTGTATCGCAGACATTTTATGAAAAATTCTCGTCTAAAATGTCTATGATACAGACAACTTTTTATTTGTGTCTGTGTGAAAATCAATTTTATTTAAAAAAAACGTTGGTCAAATTATATGTACATAGATAATTTGATCAACGTGTAACTTGGTGTGTAACTCGGCTTCTACGCGAAGCACGACTCATTGGTTATTCACTTATTCTTCCATGGCACGCTACCCTTGCAATAAAATGCTACATATGATCATATCGTTGTCGTGAATTTGTTGAGACCTAATTAATTACTTAGGATGGTTACCTCAATGATGAACGCTTAGATTTAATGATTTCTTGTTAAAAGTGATAGTGATCGAGGACACTAGGAGAGCCTCTTATCATAATCAAATTTGGGTAAAATAGTGATCACTCATGAGCAGTCATACTGATTATTGATTAACACCTCTCACCATGCACATATATAAATGTATTCATTACAAAAGATTTTTATTGACTTAATTGGTGAAATTATCTTCAATTCGGAATTAATTCGTGAAAGCAGGTCATGTATGTATGTATGTATGAGTGCTTTAGAAACCCTAATTTCCAAGATTTTATAGAATCAACGATTTTCACTTAATTAATCAATACGGAGTATATAAGGTTCTTGTAATTAGATGTCAAGGGACCAATAACTAATCTGATAAAAGCGCCCGGTTGAATTGTAACCTTTCCCACATGATTTAAGTCATACGGAGTATTTAATTGGAAAATGGGACTTGATAAAAAATAGATCATTTGACACAGTTTAGCGCCTGGATTAATGATAACGTTGAATTACTTTGCTCGTAAGTTGTAGGTTGCTAGTGTTTCGGGTTAAAAATGCTGGTTTGGAAGTGCTAATAACAACAGTGTTTACCTAAAGCGTTTATTACCAAGAAAGCTTTGTTGGATGAAGGAGAGGCTGGCGGCTGAGGGTTTGACGGTGGTATGACTACGACGGTTCCTGTGGATGGGGCGGCGCCTACCCCTCCACCGGTGGCTAAGGCGTGGAGAGCAAAGTCCTTTGTTTCAGTCTTAATGAATTCCTCGGATCAGAAACCATTATCTAAGAAGGTGGCTTCACGTTTCAAAGGGATACCATCAATCACGTTTCCGGAGGAAGAGATCAAAATTCTGCTGAGCAGCACAAAAGGGCTTTGGTGGGTTATTTCTTTAACGATAGGCCCCCTATGGCTTCTATTCGTATGTCGTTTGAATTAATTGGGTATAAAGAAAATTTCTAGTTGGGTATTTTTGGAGAGAGCATATTCTTATCAGATTCAAGCTTGAGGAAGATTATATACGTTGTTGGAATCGTCAAACATGGGATATCTTTGGGAACGTTATGCGTGTAAAGAAATGGACTCCTGATTTCAGGCCAAATGTTGAATCCCCTATCGTTCCTATATGGTTTAATTTTGAAAACTTACCTATTCATCCTCAGGACAAAAGAGCTCTATTTGACATTGCAGGACTGGTGGGGAGACCACTTAAATTAGATGTTGCTACAACATCTCTAACCAAACCATATGTGGCACCTATTTTTACTCAGGTGGATCTCTCTAAAGATATGCCTCGGAAAATTTGGATCCAATGTGGATCCATGGGATTCTCTCAGGCTGTGGGATATGAGAATAGCCCTATGTATTGCATTAAATGTCTATATCTTGGTCATATTGATGTTACATGTCCTAAACGTCCCCAAGTGGGGATCAATGGGGCCTCTGCTAATGGTAAAATAGATAAGGAGCCTGGAAAAACTAATACAACAGAAAAGTGGGTTCAAAAACCCAAATCTACAGGGCCTATTATAATTACAGATAAAGGTGTAATGCCTAATACTGGAAAAGATAAAGGTGTAATGCCAAGTACTGGGAAAGATAAAAGGAAAGCTTGTGTGCAGTCTTGCATCCCTTCCACTTCCAAAGGGTGTGATTCAGATACAGATACAGAGGAGGTTTACAATGAGACACTAATTCCTGGAATTGGCAACAACACTGTCAATCAGTCCATTACTTTAGACAGTCCTGCGGCCAATATTTTGTCTACTTCTAAAGCAGTACCTGAAGAGCACATTAATATATCAGAAGCTCTTGGGGTGACAGGTCTTGAGCCAGGTTACTTTAGCAGAAGATCTTGAGGTGACAGATCCTGTAGCTCCTGAGGTGACTGTTGCTTATAGCTCTGCTAAAGAATTAGAACTTCAGACATTACTTCAAATGCAGATTCCTGGAATAGAGAAATCAAAGTTGAGTACATATATTCAGGATGACTTCCAGTTGCAAAAAATGAATACATTTCTGGATTATGATTTTTAATTAGAATCTAATCTGGTTCTTTCTGATGGGGAGATTAAAAGGAAAGGGCACTCCCGAACACTTGAAAGGAAGGTTGGGATGGCATCAGTAGTGCAATGGAGAGTATGGTTCAGAAATTGACTGCTGAAGGACAAATCATACAGGGGAGACTTATTCATCAATGCTCAGTTGATCCATCTGACAATGTTGAAGTTTGTCTACCTGCAGATACCAAGAAAAAGCATAAGGATAAGCAACAAACTGTTAAAAGTCCTCGGGTTACAAGAAATGCAGCACGAAAGAATAAACAAAATGAGATTTCAGCTCTTGGGGATCCTAGCATCATCAAGAAGCTGTCTTTTACTTCCTCTAATGTTTCCTTATGAATTGTCTAATCTAGAATGCCAGGGGTCTGGAAGGCTCTCTTTCCAGGGGTCTGGAAGGCTCTCTTTCCAGATTCTCACCGGCCGGCTAGCAGCCCTTGGACGCTTCATGTCCAAGTCCGCCGAGAAGTCCCTACCCTTCTTCCAGGTCCTAAAGAAACAAAATGGTTTCGTCTGGAATGATGAGTGTCAGCGAGCCTTCGACGACCTAAAGAAGTACCTCCTCTCTGAGCCTTTACTCAGCAAGCCGGAGAGGGGGGAGACGTTAATCCTTTATCTTGGGGTTTCCCAAGGCGCGATCAGTTCCGTGCTGGTTCGCGAGGAGGAAGGCATTCAACGTCCCGTCTACTATGTGAGCAAGACCCTCCAGAATGCTGAACTCCGGTACACCTGACGTGCACTCGTCGTTAGGTGCACTCAAAATAATTTATCAATACAACACTAATACGTAGTATAGTGTAGTAAGGTTCGTATCCACAGGGAAAGGAATACTTTTCTTTTATATAAATAGTAACAAGGGGGTTTAGATTTGTTTGGTTTGAAAACACTAAGATAAACAACCTATATGAGTTTAATTTGATGAGATGAGGACTTGGTTTTGCTTTTATCCACTTAATGAAATGTTCGTCGATCCCGGTTATATCTTTAACTATCTTCCTCTCGAATACTCAATCGAGGAGTATATCCAGTTCATCGAGGGTAGTTATTAATAACGAGATGCGTTCATTAATAAAACTTACTATCGAGTCAATATAGAACAAGCGCCGTATATTAACTTGATAGTAGCAATAAACTTAAGATGAAAACGATTGAGATTGATAACCTCAACACAAGCGGTTTATTGGTTTAATCAATATAATTAATTCCCCTTGGCATATTAACCATGAGATGCATGCATTATTATTCCAAGTTTACTACCGTTGAAAGAACCGGATTAATAACAAGCGTATTAACCGATTGATTCTAGTAATAATTAATATGAGAAACAATACTAGTTGATACTTTAAGTAATGTTTAAGATATTAACATGAAATATGAATAGGAATTAATTAATACTCAAGGAAGAATATTAAAATATATGAATCCTACTATGATTAATATCAAGATGTTAACTAATTGTCATCTTAGTAACACTCCCCAATATTATCATAGAGGAAGAAATAGCTATTACTATAACCAATGTCAAGATGTTAACTAATTGTCATCTTAGTAACACTCCCCAACTTTGATATAGAGATAGTATTTTGAAAGAAGGAATTAATATTCAAGGAAGAAGATCAAAGAAAATAACTCACAACTTACAAATTCATTAAACTTCAAAGTAGCAAAACCAAGATGGAAGAGTTTAGCTCCTCATTTGGAGACTAAACATGATGAAAAAGATAAAGAAAGAACTATTCTATACTGAGCTTAGATGTACAAGGGATTGGATATCAAATGGGAAGGAAAAGAGGTGTATTTATAGGTGTTTGGAGGTAGCAGGGTCATTTACCCGACCGGGTTTTACAGAAACCCGATCGGGTTTCTTGAGTAATTGCCCGGAATGTTCATTAGTCACATCTACCCGATCGGGTTTTTGATTTACCCGATCGGGGTAAAAGACAAATCTTTGCCAAATCTTCGCTCTGCATGTTAAATTGCCTCCAAATCAAATTTGATCTTCGGGTCAAGTCAAACCCGGTCGGGTTTTTGGAAAATCCGGTCGGGTTTTTTGACTATTTTCCCAACTTTTCACTTTTTGTTGTTCCCTTGCACTTTCCTTGAACCTTCCAGGATCCTTTTGACGATCTTTACCTAGTTTAAGCTCAGAAAGTCCCTAATCTAAACAAATTACAACTATTTTACAAACTAAACTATTACACCAAAAGTGTGTAATATGCAAAGTGAAAGTCAATCAAAACTAATTAAAAATACAAAAATAAACATGGAAATTACATGAATGTCAACTCCCCCACACTTAGTTTCTTTACTCGTCCTCGAGTAAAGCCAAATGTTTGTACAAGTGTTAACAAAAGATCATAAGTTCAAGAATAGCAAGAAAGAACACAAGACCACCAAGGGTTGCGAATGAGTTACAAAACAACATTTTCTTGGGTTTGTTGGTCTTCTATGTTCTTTGTTTCTCCTTCTCCTCCTCCTCCTTTTTCTTCTTCTTTCTCCAAGAGATGATATTCTGCAAAAAAAATACATATTTCTCTCATATCTCTCATTTTGTCTAGGAGCCTTTTCAGGTTTTCATCCTAGCATCTCTCTTTTATTTTTCCATCCTTACCGCTCACTCTTTTTTTTTGAAGCCCTTTTTTGCTTAGATTGCCCGTGTTTGGGTTTTCAATTTAACTAGCATTCTCTTCTTGTTTTTATTTTATTTATTTATTTATTTCCTTCTTTTTTTTTAGACAAAGAAAATAATGCAAGTTATCATGGTAGAAAATGAAGGTGTACATACCAAATGAGTGCCCCCCTACTTTGTCCAAGCACTGTCCCTAGTGCTCCGTGTCATTAGCCTCGTCGTGGTAGCCACCATAACCGCTGCCCTCACCGCCATAGCCTCCTCTGCTCCCGCTTGCTCCACCAAAATTACCCCAAAAAGAGGGGTCATACCATGTAGGGTGTTGATGCTGAACTTGTATGGATGAGAAATAGCCCTGATTATCAAAGTAGGCATGTATAGGTCCCAATGCCCTACGTTGATTTTCTTCTAAACGGTCGAGTCTCAAGCGTTGTTCCTCCCGTGCCTGTCGGACTTCCTCATAGAGATTATTAATTCTCCCATCCGTAGCCGTTTGGTTAAGATGGATTTGGTTCATCCCGGCTAGCATTTGTTGCTCAAAAAGGCTAAATTGAGGGGCGTGAGGGTCTGGTTGAGGTTCATTTTGTGGCGGGTTGGGGATGTATGGGGGTGGCTCAATCTGTGCTGGGATTTCTTCAGGGATGATGTAGTGTTCCGGGATTGCTCCGGGAAGGCAAAAGTGTCTTCCATCCCCGAATTGTGCATCAAAGATGTCAGTGGGGAGTTCTGTCTCAGTTGGAAGGATAAAGAACCTTTGTGGGGTTGTGTTGATATGCCATTTGTAAAAAAATTTATCCCCGAAGTTGTGAGAGGAGCTTAAATCATGGGCATTTAGGAGAAATTGAGTGCATACAAGACCCCACTCAGGCATTGGTTGCCTCTGAGTATACCCAAATTTAGAACAGATATGGAGTATTATACCCCCAATAAACAAATCACCTGTGGCATCACAACACTCTTTTCTCAAGTGTTTCCACATCAATGAGGCAACATCTAATTTAGGTGATTCCATCAAAGCAGCCATAGCAAGAATGCACACATCGGTCTTTCTAGTCTGATGGTTATTTGGTCTTCCGAAGACAAAATAACCAAACCATTTAAGCATAATTCGAAAAACAGGGTGCTGAACATGACTGATATACATGTGAGATGTTCTAACAATTCTTTCACCTGTCATTCTTTTCCACATCTCATGCACAACTGAGGTGTCAATTTTCCTACCTCTTGCCTCCTTTTCTAAAATTGGCAGTCCAAAGTGTTCTGCAAACTCATATTTCGTTAACTCTTTTTCATCGTTGAGATAACGGAATGTGAGCTTGTCCTTATACTCATCGTTGGCATCATCAGTAAATTTGCAAGAACCCAAAAATTCATATATAACTCTTTCATTCGGATTATAGGCTATGTTCATTAAGGAGATTAATCCTAGCCTATTGCATAGTTCGATCATCAAGTCATAGAGCAACAAAGCTTTCAACGAAGCAATGCAGAGAAATCTACATGGGTATACCTGTCTTTTAGTTTCCTCGATGAATCTTTTGCGGTGAGCTTGGATGGTGAATTGCAGGCCTTCGTACCCGGGGACTTCGGGGACTGAAACTGATGTCGTGGAGGATGAAGGACGACTTCTTTTGGGTGGCATAGTATTTTTCTTGAGAGAAATTGCAATTTGGGGATTTTTTCTTGGCTAGGGTTCGGATTTGAGGATTTGGGGGAGAAAAATGGAGATTGAGGGTATGGTAGTGATGAGGGAGATGAGGGGAAGGAATTTGTGTGGTTTATTTTGGGATTGGGTGAGGGATTTGGGTGATTTGGAAGCTTGGTTGTTCGTGGCTATGGAGGTTTGGAAGGAGAGAGGGGCGGATTTTTGGGGAAGATGGCGTTGAAAACCGGACTGTTGGCCTGTTTAATTGGGTGAAATACGTAAACCCGATCGGGTTTTTGTATTTACCCGGACGAGTTTTCGATTTTTGAAGCTGGCAGAATGTTATTTTGACTTTTACCCGGCGGGTTTTTCAATTTACCCGGACGGATTTTCAATTTTTGCAACAAAATGTTTTTCGCCTTTTTACCCGGTCGGGTCTCTAGCATACCCGATCGGGTTTTAGTGTTTTTGGTTTTTTTAAGAAATCGTCTTTGCCCGGCGGGTTTCCTGGTTCGGGTCTGTATTTTTAAACCTCTTAGCCGACCGGGTATGAGGTTTTACCCGGCCGGGTTTTGTGCCCAGCCTTCATATATTTTTTTTTTTTGAAAATGTTTAACACACACACACAAGTTAAATGAAAATTGATAAAATATTAATGCAAGTTAAATGAAAATTGATAAAAATCAAAACTTGGGTTGCCTCCCAAGAAGCGCCTCATTTAACGTCGCGGCACGAAGTTATTCAATTTTTTTTTTAAGTGGGATCGTGAACATCCCTTGATTCATTTTTTTGTGGCCTTATTTAGCCATTTTTCAAATTTATTCTTCGGCCTTTTCCAGTAAGGCCGGGGTTTCTTTCTCATCAACACCTCAATTGCAGGTGGTTTAAGTTTGCATCTTAATGACTTTGTTCCAACCACCGATGACTCCCTATGCTCAATTTTCTCCTCTTCTTGAAAGATTTTATCAAATTTCTTCAAAAAAAAAATGGTTCTTGTGGTTCAACAACACTTAAAGAGCAAAGAGATTGATCTTCAATTTGTTTTTTCGTAGAGTCAAATATATTGAACTCTACTTTTTGGTCATTGAACTCTAAAGTTAATGAACCACTAGCCACGTCGATTTTAGTTTTTGCGGTCTTCAAGAAGGGTCTACCCAAAAGGATGGGTGTTGTTTGGTCATCATTTCCCATTTCGAGGACATAGAAGTCGACAGGGAAGACCATATTTTCCACTTCTACTAGCACATCTTCTATCATACCCTTCGGGTAAGTGCTAGAATGATCTGCTAGTTGAATTACTACACCGGTTTGATGTAGTGGGACAAGTTGTAGGGATTTATAAACGGAGTGAGGAATGACATTTATTGATGCCCCTAAATCCAACAAGGCCCTAGGAAATGTGGTGCCCCCTATCGTGCAAGGAATAGTAAACATGCCTGGGTCGCTACATTTTTCGGTGAGTTTATTTTGGAAAATAGCTGAGACATGTTCACTAACCATAACCTCTTGTTTCTCTTTCAATTTATTTTTCCTTTTTGTTTTGCATAATTCTTTTAAAAATTTAGCAAAACGAGGAACACTTTTCATTGAGTTAAGGAGCGGAATGTTTACCTCACACTTGGCGAAAGTCTCATAGATGTCAGAATCTTTCTCCGGTTTCTTTGTCTCTCTCAGTGCCTCAGGAAACGGGGCTACTGGTTCA